CAGGCCTACACTTTTTACAAGATTTTTGCTTAGGTTTAAAGTCTATCTTGCACCCATTGAAGACAGCAAATGGTACAGGATTGGGGCTGTCCTGAACAAGAACTGTTTCCCTCATCAAAAGTGAAGCTAAAATTGGGAGTGACAAGTATGGGAAGAAAATTAAATTTCCTAGGTATCGCATTAGCAGTTAGTAAATATACGAAGTCAAAATCAAGTTTACACTATTTACTTTTTAAGTACTGTTTCAAGAGTGTTTTACAAAAAACGAATTTCCATTAACTTACAATGAAAACTATGGTATGGCCTTTTTATATTAAATCTCACAATCAGCGCAATTAGGTATGAAAAAGATATATAGATGCTAAATTTGGTGTTCAACACAGTGTTTGTGGTTTACAATTAAATTTGAGTTGTATCACATAATGAGATAATAAGTGACTTTCCCAGGATTTCCAGCAGAGAACGTTTCCACTTCATTAGCACGATACAATAACGGAGCACCTGTCCCATACTGGAAAGTTTCTTTCAGGGAGCAGTATCAGTCGCTGGCATTGTTTAAAGTCTCCTAAATATTCTTACTTAAATTGTGGGATTATACTGAAGCACCAGGTATAATCAAGCTACATTCATCTTGTAAAGGACCAAAACTCACAACGATGAATTCCAGGCTGGGGTTAAGTTCTCCTTATTTGCTGAAGAGGGAGAGTTAACACATAAGATGTACAATTCACAGTAAATTTACAGCAGACGCCCACCCTCTACATCCCAGATGGCTGACCCAGCCTAGCAAAGTTGTTGTTTAACCAGTAGAGGAGTTTGAAAGCTTTCCAACTGAACAGAGTTTTGTCAGGAAAACTCCCCAATTCATCAAACTGCTAATGTTTTGCAAAAACACCTCAAGTTCAACAAACTTTAAAAAAAAAAAAACAACACAAAAAGGATGTCAAAGGAATGCTGATTTCAGTCACCAAATGCTCAGGAATAGCACACGCCATTGAAAATACCCTGCTCCAGGGTTTCAAATCAGCTTCTTTGACCCAGGTTCAAAATAGAACTTCTTGTGAAATGGAAATCCTGGGTTCCAGAGAAAATCAGGGCAGAAACAAAAGCACTCCAAAAAAATTACACATCTCTGCATGTTACCAAACATTGAGGACACTTCCATGAAGATGGTCCCTCTCCCTGCTTTTGCAGGAGCACAGCCTCGGGCTGGAAGCGCCAGGCACGAGGGAACTGCTTGCCTGGCAGCAGGGAGGGGTGAGATCTGGTCTGTTTGCTCGGCAGCGTTAGGAACTGAAGCACAGACCCACTCCGCCTCGCTGGGTACAGAGCTCTGACTCACCTAGCAGGCAAGCAGGGGAAATCCATGGATTTGGGAACAATCTGAAACTGAGGCATTTTAGGGGAGTGCAAGTTCCTTCCTACAATTGCCAAATCTTTTCTTTTTTCCCGCACTCTCTCGGCTTCCCTCTAGACAGCCCACACTGTTAACGCTGTCCCACGTAGCATCAGCCTCTTTTCTCACAGCTGCACTAGAGACACAGGCTCCATTTACAGAACTGCCACAAGGAGAAAACTTTTCAGGGGAACATCTTCTCCCCAGACTGGCTGTTTATTATCCTACAGTAGGGAGCAGTCACCAACGGAGGTAAACAGTATCTTGCTTCTTTAAGAAGTCCATTAAGTAAATTCATCTATTATTAGAAATCTGTTTAGCAGAAGGGAATGAGCAGTCTGCCACAGAACATGAGACAATTCATTTATTCTTTTATGCACTTAAGATGGCTTACAGCAACGGCTTGAATCGTGGCCAAGTAGATAAGGGCGAGCTCATCCAGACCTTGAGACAACGTCAGTCCAACAACCTGTGCAAAGATCAAAAAGAAAACGTAGAAATCCAGCCAAAGTAAAATTCTTATTATTTTCTATGGTTTCTTGCTGTAACAAGTTTTAAGTGCTAATTCTAAGCCCTGCTTTTGTGAGCTGTACACATAATGTTATGTTAAACGTGTTATTCCTGATCTGGGGAAGAACCACATAAAATTGTTCTTGCCCTTGCAAAGAAATAAAGAACAAACAGAATACTGTATGGGATTAGAGATAGATTAACTCTGACAGTTTTATGTTATGACTCAGATATTGCTCGTGAATGTATTTAATGTAATATTATGAAAATGCTATTACATAAAAATAACTTTTTAAAAGCATTTCTCCCCCTCCCTTCCAAGCACCCTAAGACTAAAATACAATTAATAATTAAAGACTATATCTTAACCTCCTTTCCTCTGACATAAATCAATACTGCCCTGTAGTTACTCTGGATTAATATCAGCATAAGCAAGACTTGAATGCAGCCATAACTGTGGCAGAAAAAATGTGTTTCTATTACCAGTATTTGCATACAGCCCTCATACCAAGGAAATTCCAATTCTGCTGTAGCATATACTTCTTTCATAAAATAATACAGGTATCATTAAGACCCCAAAATATATAAGCCTTTTTTTTTTTAATGTTTCCCTCGTTTGTGGTTTAAAATATGTTGCAGTGCTTATGCCTACCCTTTCCTACCTCAACCTCAAATACAGCAGTTTTTGGTGCTGGTGAGTAGCTTTTGATGCTCACTTCAAGGACAATATGCCATTTTGAAGTACATTTTTACATTAATCACCAGGTGTTTTGATATAATCAAATTATACCCTTCTGATATTCGTCTGTTACAGTTTTGCACAGTAACATCCTGGCTTGTGACATAGCCGATCTACCACCATGAAGTTCAGTGAAGAGAAACATCCAAACATCAAAAGATGGGCTGAAAATCTCCCCAGCAGAGCTTCTCTGGTGAGCTTCCAAAAGCTGCTCTTTCTGGTTCCAGATTGCAAGGCTCTGAAAATTTCTTTGTGCAGAACAAAGTTTGAGTTCCAAAAGTAGCATTTTTTAAACCAGAAGCCAGAATCGGATCAGATTTACCTTTGAACAAAGATCTATGAAGCACCATGGTTGCATATTTCCCATCATGAGAGCATCTATGCCCATTTTTAACACTAAGCAGAGGAGCTTTTCAGTTTCTGATGAAATTTACTACCCAACAACTCTAACATAGCACATTTACTGAACATATTATCTGTTTAAATCAAGCAATCTCTCCTCAGAATATTTAATTCCTTTCCCAGATAAGCACACCCAAATTTGTGTTGAAATTCAGTGCAGCAGATATGCAAAATCGGCAGACAGGTGAGTTAACAACAGCGAGCGCTGCTATCAGTGCTCTGAAATGTGATTCCCAGGAAAGATACTGGGACACACACAACCGTCCTCATTATTTTTAGAAAATAAATGTGGCTGTAGTGATATTTCAACTACAACGATCTCTGGTTTTCTACTGAAACATTAGCACAGTTTGAAATGCAGCAAGAAACCCAAATCCTATGGGATAGTTTAAATAGCTAAGGAGGAGTACACACAAAATTGAAAAAAGCTCCTTCCAAGCTTTTTTTTTTTTTCTTTTCACCCTGTATTGACCTTTTTGCAAAGACAGGCTGTTTCTTACCATGCCCTTTAGTGTCAGATCTGTTAAGGGAGATCTGTTACCATGGAAATCTGGCCAAACATGCAAATCAACAGTGAGGAAACCCACAGGCAAAGATTTCTTAATCAGATCCAGGTGACTGTTCAAGTACGTATATATACTGTGAGCACTAGAAGAAAAACAAGTTGGAAAAAGAGTGGGGGAGGTTATTCATCAAACATAAAACATTCGTACTGCCATCAAACGCAGGAAACCCATCAAAGAACAGCAAATCCCAAATTTAAAACAAAGGGAGAGAAAGGCAAAACTGACTGCTTGCCATGCCCGTGGCATTGCAGGGTGTGGGCAGTGGGCATCTCTATCTGCACGTCCGGGCCAGAAGCCATCCGAATTCCTCAGTTTCACAGGACGAGGGGAGATAAAGGCAGTTTGTGATCTCGAGTGTGTACACTGACTCCTACGGGTCCCTGGCCAAGCCAGAGCTGGTTGATATTTTGGGAGCTGATGATGCTTGTGTCTAACTGAGAGGTGCTGACCCTGTGAAAGGGAAAGCTAGAGAAGCGAAAGCTGAGAGAGTGGAATGAGGAGGATTCCAGACAGAAATGAAAATCAAATTCCTTTACAAATGTTTAAAAATTTCTCTGATTAATCAATAGCACTGGCCTACGGCTTTCCTTTTTTAACCATAATTATTTCAGTGTGTGTTATGATTAAAATGCAGCACTAAGGGTGGAGGAGAGAAAGCAAGTGGCTGCTATTTTAGGGAGGAGCTGAACAGGGGCTGAAATATGACTGTATCTAAGTTCAGATACTACACCCAACTCCACAATATCCAACAGACTTTTTTCTGGACCAAGAGTAATCTTAGGACTAACGGTGAATTCTTCAGTGCTTTGGCTTGCAATGACTCTAGTGACATTCCATCTAAAAAATGTCGCAGTTATGCTCAGAATATTTTTTCAAACACTCATACTATCATAAACAGATTCATATATATTCTTCAACTCCTTCGAAATCTCCAAGTGGGGAATTTAATTCTAGCCATGTGGGTCAATAATAGCATCTAACCCTAATTACAATTGATTAGTCATTGTCTCATCCACTGTAGACCCGAACAGTGATATTCATTTAGCCTCCCTATGTATATTCAATCATGCACTAATGAGATCCCTAAGGGAATTTGGCATATGCTTTACTAGTTTGACTTCTGACCTGCTAGCAGCTGTATATTTATACTTTGCATTCAACCATTCAGCTGCATGTTTTTTCAATTATACCTTACCATGTGTATGCTATCAGAGGATATCATTCAAAATGAAGTACACTTGGAAGACATTAAAATAACTAATTCACATCATTATTCACGTACTTTAAAATGTACTTTATGTGTCTTTCTGGACCTGAATTATGATAATTTTGAGGTCACAATCATTTCCCTCCCGTCTTGTTGTAAAAGTGGCCCTGTTTTCTACATCCCTGAAGACTGCACTATAAGTAGTACATGCTAAGGACAAAGTCATTTTATTTCCAGTCTAAATCATTGCTTGACTGTTGGGAAGGAAAAGAAAGGAAAGCTTCACTCAACCACAGACCTACCAGACATCCCAGCTTCTATCTGATCTCCATCTCACTTGATTAGTCCCTCAAGGGTTAGCCACTTGTGCAGCTCTGACAGAAAACAAGGACTGTACAAAAGAGGCTGAAGTTCAGAAGTTAAGACCCACATAACCTTGGAATTACACTTTTTTTCACACCTTTTTTTTTTCCTTACATATAGTTATGGGTTAAAGGCACTACATTTGGACTGAGTGACTGGCAAGATCCTTCAAACACTTGGCAGTTCCAGTTTCTACCAGGTTTGTGCTTTACATAGTATTACACCATCAGCTCTCTGGAGCTTTTTCTATTCAGTTCTGTGATAAAGTATCAGTAGCAGCTGGGTTTGACTTGCAGAGTTGAGCACGAGCTATTGCTACTAAAAAGGAGCTATGCTGAAAGTGGAGAATAAGAAATCAATGCAAGTGTGCTCAGGGTTACACTCATATTTGGGACATAACTTCAGAAAGCAACAAGAGGCGGGTATTTGATCGTTCAGAAATCCTTGAAGGTGCCACCAGGTACCATTCAGGAAAAAAATCTAAAAATTTTAGATTTCTAAATCTGAGAAAAAGGGCTCTCAACCATCTAGAGGTAGAAAGAAATGCCAAATATGATTATTCTGCTTGAAAGATCCCAGAATTGCTGACAGATACCGTGTAACTTCAATGCTTTTTTTCAAAAGACATCTCTTTAGATGGGGAAATGGCATCGAGACGTGTAGGAAAGGAAATTCGACCCTAAAACATAGCGCTTCACAAAGCACCAAAGGGCACACAATCTTTGCTGTCAAACAGATGATTTTTTTCCTCCAGAACATTAGAAACTGTGATTCCAGGAAACAGAAGTATTTAAAGCATAAATGATCATATTATTTCATTTTTTTTTATTTCCTACTCTAACCAGTCTATATACACAGCAATTTCTGCAACTCACCGAACTCCATGAAAAACCCCAAGTTTGCCGCTCACAGAGCACGCCAATTAGTTAGACCAAATGCTAAATTTACAGCCGTCCAGAAAATCCTCATGTAATTCAACCCTCTCCACTTCCAGTAAAAGAAGGGAAAAGAGAACATAGCAATAGTACTGGGAGAGTTGCTCAAGACTGGTCTGCAGCACAAGCGGTCAGTGGAAGCTGGTTTCTGGCAAGTCTGTCCAAGCCCTAACGAGTCACCACAAACTACCGAAGCAAGGATAAACGCCGCTTGCAAACTCTTGCTCCTGCTATAGGCAAAGGGACAGAACTCTGCACTGCCAAATTTCCAAGCTCGGCTGCCCAGCAGGCAGTTTGCCATTGCCAAACCTACATACTAGCATGTTGGGAGCCTGGGAGAAAAGACAGACGAACTTAGCAAGGTAGAAGTAGGTGACAGACAGCAGCAGTAGGAGGCAGATCTGTGACCTCAGGTGTTTTTTCATGATCCAGACATGCAGGTGCTTTTTGTCACTACAAAAGCAGCCTAACTCTTCACAGTGCTGCACCTGGCATGGGAAGTAAAGGTAATATGCAATTGCACACCTAAGTATGGAATTCTCGTTTTGTTTTCTTTCAATGACCTTTTGCAATGGCTGAACAGATATTAATTTTTACATCCATACATAGAATATACTAAACACAATAAATCAGATTCTCTGAAACAGTCTGCTGAGATTTCCAGGCCAATAATTTACCATCACCACCACCACCAATCCCCCAAAATAAGACACTGTGTTCTTATTAAGTGTATGATTTAATGTAAGTAAACACAGAATATAAAGTTTGAGCCAACACTGTTCACTAAAAAAATGCCCTGCACTTGCATAGCTACTGCTGCTAGGCCCTATGATAAGGCTGAAGCTTGTGCTCCATGTGTAGAAAGAAATGAAAAAATAAGTTCGAATTGCAAAGTTCCTGATTTTCATTTCTTCAAACTAAATTCCATAATCTAACAAACATTTGAGAAGGACAGGGAGCAAGGGGATAGGGGGAATTAATAAAGGATTTTTTTTCTAAATTTATAGCTATCCAAACATTTCATTAGGAAGGTAATATCTGGAAAGCATTATAAAAATACCATTGAGTGAATTAATTTCATAAAATATTATCATCCTTATTGTAAAATATTATAACGCTTTTTATCAATGCCATCGTCCTTAGTTTTACTAACTGCAGGAGACTCAAATCCAAAGTTATGACGCCATACACTCATATAACATGGAGTTCTATTCCTGATATTCTGTATTTAGTGTCTTCCAACACAAAATAAAATGGCTTATCCTGGTATTACAGACTAAACGAACTGTTTATCTTATGCTTGTGCTTCATATGGGGGCACCGGAAAAATGGCCTGGAAGCCAAGATTTTGGAAAAAAACCCAGATCAATCCTTATTCCAAACATACACAGATGCATTTATTTCCTGATTTCCTTTTTGAAAGAAGAACAAAGAGAATTCTAGGAAGCATGAATCTATTTCATACTGAATGAGGTCCAATACATTTCTGGGAATCCTGGTCAAGGTCTTAACAGACAAGTAAGACACTGGGCACTACAAAGTATAGAAGGGTCATCTAGAGAAACCAGGTAGCTTTATCCCCCCAGAGAGGACTGAAAAGTAACTGTAAAACTGCATGCACTCAATACTTCTATCAGGATTGACCCTTGCCTTTTACACCAGGGCGATAAACTGAAAATAAAATGCTAAGTTTGCTGTTTTTTTCTTTAATACAAGGAGGAAAAAGAAATTAAAAGAGAATCAAATTTTCATCCAAGGTGCCTAATTGTTCAGCTAAGATCTCTCTGGGAGCAATGTGAACCTTTTTAAAAGGAATCCAAGCCAAAACAGCTTGAGAAAGTCCAGATCTGACAGAAGTGTCTGGACTGTCTTCATCCACTTCTAAAGCAGACCAAATGAAAATTCCATATTGCACACAGCCTCCTGCTCAAGGAATCCTGGGGTTACCTCCAATTCACTCCTACATCTTAAGTTTTGTCTGAAAATTAATCCTGTGTTTCTCTGTTCTATTTGTGCTGCCATGCAGGAGTTTTTAATATAGTAGCTATACCTTCCTTTAGATGACTGTTCCAAAAATATTGAATAATATATTCCTAATTAAGCTATATCTCATCCTTGGAGCTTAATGTTGTCACCTACAAATTAAGACACATCATAAGCCCAAGGCATAAAGGTCTGCTGAACAGGGTGGATGCTATGGTACCGAGAAATCCCCTGAGCTGGATACAAAAGAAGTTGAAAAGCAGAGTTAGTATCTCCACTTAGATATGCCAAAGGTATCCAAGGGGAGTTTAAAGCCTTCATCTTTGAGCAATCACCTGGCAAGCCTTTGTAAATACCTCCAACCCACTATCAGACTGTTAATTCTCCTGTTTCAGAATAAGGATTCTCAGCAATTCTGCACTGCTGGGAATACAGTGTATCATCCATTTGTAAGGCAGGTATGCGATAAAGGAATAAGAACAGTGACCTGGCTGCAGCTTTTGACTGTAATTCTGGGAAGGCGACATGGCCTCGGACCACGTGATCTATCTGAAAAAGAGGAAAGGAACATTTTTGGAGTGATAACATCTTAAAAATTCAGTCCCAGAAAAGAGTAATGCAGTGTCATAACTTTAAAAAGACAAGAGTGTTTCTAAATTACTCATGTGGCATGAAGTCCTAGTCCTAGTGAAGTCAATGGCAAAACTCCCACTGACATTACCGGATTCAGGATTTGGCTTAAAAACAGTAAGAAAAACCAACCAACACCTCACCAAACCCAGGCAAAATGCTAAGCACACAGCTCCTCAGTCGGAAGCGCAAGCTGAAAGGATGACTTTTTTCTGGTTCAGCACTATCTGAGAGGATGTCCTCTAGCCTCTCCCATTCTCTTGCATGCATACACTCCTTGGAATTCTACCAGGAGCATCTTCTTGGCCTAAATCCCTACATCTTTCTACATCACACCGTTACAATAAAACACAAGGAGTGTTGTCATTCTGATAGATGCTCCATATGTTCATTGTAGGAAACAAATTGTATACCTTGACAAGCAATTACTGCTATAAAAAAAGATGAATATTGGCTCTGTCTATACTAAATTTATAAATCATGTGGTCTTTTCCCTTCACATTATTCACAAAACAAAGTATCAGGCAGAATAACACGGGCTTTTAAGGCAATAATTCAGCAGGTTTTGTGGCCTCTCGATATCATCCCATCAGAGGTGACAGTAAAAGCTAAGGAGGCACAACTAGAGCTACTCCAGAGCACCGAGTACATTTGGCAGTATCATTGGCAGCAAGCTACATGAGGTTTGTCATTTTTAACAGCATGAGTCCAGTCCTTAACCAGTGCAGCAAAACATACAATGAAGCACATACATCTGAACACAGCAATAAAAATAACACATGCCTGTTCTTTCTGAGATTTGCATCAAAGACACAACTCAAACGTGCATGCATTGGAAACAAAGCTCAGGCCTGAATTTTGCAATCTTGCCTAATCTGTTTTAGAACATAGGAGCAGCTCATAAATTCAAAAATAAATCTATAAATAAATATCACATATATGTGTGTGCTATGAAAACACTTTACACAAAAATGTTACAGAAGTTATAGAACCATAGAATCACAGAATGGTTTGGGTTGGAAGGGACCTCAAAGATCATCCAGTTCCAACCCCTCTGCCATGGGCAGGGACACCTTCCACTACACCAGGTTGCTCAAAGCCTCATCCAACCTGGCCTTGAACACTTCCAGGGATGGGGCATCTACAACTTCTCTGGGCAACCTGTTCCAGTGCCTCACCACCCTCTGAGTGAAAAATTTCTTCCTTAGATCTCATTGAAATCTGCCCTCTTTCAGTTATGAAGTTAGGTATTTAAATGCACTGAATTCAAGACACGGCCACATGACGGTTGCATCTAGAAACCCTTTTCTGGTATTCTTTATTTTGCAGTTTGCAATGATGTCGTGCCATCCTTCGTCTCTGTTGTGCAATATCTTCCTGTAAAGTTTGAAAATCCAGTGTGAAAGCCCATCTAACAGATAAACAAGCTTTTTCAAAACAAGTTGAGTTCTTAATTCTTCATTTAGACTCTGAACCAGTTTTCAAAATCCAACAGACTTTTTCACAGCTGTATCAATAAAAAATTAATTAGCGATTTTTAAAGGGATATGTATCAGTTTTACTTTTAAGAAGTTCAACAGACTGTTCAAATTTCATTAAAAGAATTTACCTTTGGGCATAGATGAAGCAATGAAATGAATCCCAAGACATGCCCATTCTTTTTGTTTTCAGAAAGCCTGAAGTATGGGAAAGCAGGATCTTAAACAGACTACGGCTTTAAAATTACAAAGATAATGAATGCAACCCACCCTCCACACTAGTGTGCAAATACACAGTTCCCTCCTATGGCCCCCTATGTGTTTTCTGTACATACAACCTCAAGAAAACCACAGGAGATATTCTAAGAATGTTTTAATAAGACAGCTTCCCTAATATACCCAACAGTACTTAGAGGGGACTTTTGCTATGGGTCCTAACAAGACCATACATTTTTCCCAGTAATTTCTTTAATGACTCAGGAACATCTTGTTCTCTGGTACTAGAATGAAAAGGATTTGAAAAATCATCTTTCTGAAATACCCTAACTCTCCTGGTACATTTTAAGTGTGTAACTACCTTGAGTCAGCCAACAGAAATCACTGACTTGCTCTGTTCTCTCTAGAACTTAGCTTCTTCCCCTGCTTTGGATTAAGTGCATAGAGACTTCTCCTCTCAAAAGTGTTCTTACAAAGAAATGCACAAGATTTGCCACTTTCTTTTTACAGTGATGATGCTGTCATGAGCAATAATTAAATTTAACTTTCGGTTGTGGCAGTTACCTAAAAAATGGGATGCTTTGGTTCCAGCCTCTTCTTGAGCTGAAAAATTTCAAGTACACCCATCTCACCTGCTACAAGAGTGCTTCAGCCTCGAGGCTAAGGATGGGTTGGAGATGGAATGGGAAGAGGAGGCTGCAGGAGAGGAAGAAGGATGACTCTCCCACTGAAGCTGTGACACTGTGCAGAGAGGAATGTCAGATTCACGTGGCCAAGGAGCGAGCCCTGGAGGCAACACCAATTCATAGCTCAATGCTGAGGGTGTGTCTGGGCTTCCTGATCCAGGATTATTTCTGTTTCTTGTTCAATGACTCTTTCACATGGAACGCATAAATGCAGTGATGCCTCAATCTTCCTGGCCATGTACTCTGATCACCAGGCTTTTAAAACGGTGGGCGGTGGTGCTGGGTCTGAGTAAGACAGCAGTTACACCTGCAATTTGTGAAAGGCCAAACCCACCTGTATGTTTGCTGAGCTTACAGAGCATACCCACAGGACTGGGCCTGCCTCCTGCAGTTCCTCAAGAGGAGCTTGGCACCTCACCCCTAAGGGCAGTCCGTATTTCTACAGACCAAGCAGGGAGACACGAAGGGAGCTTTAGAAGCTTCCAAGGTTAAGCAGATACGGAGGTCTTGCTGACACTTTTGGACTTGAGCAGCTAAAGTCTGCCTAAATACTCTTTATACATCTAGGCTTTCTTAAAATTTGACTTCAATGTTTTAGTTCCGACTGCCTCCCTGTAAGTAAGAAAATTCCTTTCTACAGGATCCGTCCGGTTTTAACTTTTACTGATAAACTAAATAAACCCAATATAGTCAGACTCTTTGCACTGAAAGAAAGAACTGAGGTGACAACATATGCAGTATCTATCTAGACAGGGTAACACGTTAATATGTTACTATTCTGTCTATACAACACATCTTTCATTTATGCCCATCAATGAGCACAACTGTTCTCTATAACACAATATATGTAATTTTCTTTATCTCAAAGTCTATCTCAGCATCCTGCTAAAGTAAAGAATGAATGCCTATTTGCCTCTAAAATAATAACAATAATCATCACCATCATCATAAAAGGAAGACATGCCCTTTGTGCTCTGCCCCATACATAATACCCTATCAGCATGCAAATGAACAGTTTGCAAGAGACATAACAACCAACTAATTGCTCACTGCTTTCAGCAGCACGGTTTCTCCTACGATCTTACAAAGGTGTTTCAGGCAGAGGTCTGGCTGAATTGACAGTGGAGCCACCCCGAATGACAGCAGTTTATGGCAGACCTCCCATCTTGGAGCCTGCTTGCATCTCCGAACACTTACCAGTTTTCCTGTTGCACTTTGACCTCCTTCATTCAACCACAATCCAGGTACCATTGCAGAGAAATAAGGTCCCCAAACCCCAGGCACAAAAATGGGTGTTTCACTGACCTGCAAAAGCAAGAGAAACCTCTAGTGAACCAAACTACCTGTCAAAGTAGGTACTTCACAACCAATGTTTGGCAGCTATCAGAGCCCAATACTGAAATGATTCCTGCTCCTCCACTGGATTTACCAACACGAGTGGAAATGCAGAGGTAGAGATTTACTCTAAGGAGAATGTGGAGAAATACGTCCCCCATTTGCACCACTTCTTGGTGACAGCTGCTACTCATTGCACAACTGCCCCTGCTCACTCCCGTTTACAGAACAGCTGGGCCTGGCCATGCAGAAAGTAAGAAGTTTCAGGAACAGGAGCTGTGTTTTACAGGGAGAGAGAAACTGCCTTGTTTCTGCAGAAAAACACCTTAGAATGAACGGTTGGATACAGCACTCTGCTTGACTGTCATCAGAAAATACAGCCAATGTAATTGGCAACCGGTGTTTACAGGGCACTCATCCTGTGTGTCTACGGAGTTATGAATCGAGGGAGAATCCTGCTGACAGAGGACAGCAAGGTCCCCTCAGGTCTGCCATCAGCTCCCGAGAGTGGAACTCCAAGCTCCAGAGCTCTCACAGCACTGTCAGGAGAGTCAGGTGCCTTGGGTGGAAGCTGCAAACGTGGGCTCGTGTTGGCCAACAGGAAACGTTTGTCTGGGTAAACATTAGATTCTGCCCCTTACTGAGGTTTAGCTCTACACAAACCAACTGTGAACCCTTTTGCCAAAGCAGATATCTAAGCACTACCATCCAAAAACTGAACAGGACTATATTCTACCGCTTTCATGCAAATAACACCCACATATACAGTGATATCCTACTCCTGTGCAGTATCGCAGTGGTTAGACCACTCAGGATGTGGGAGACACTGGTTCACTTCCTTTCTCTGCCTCAGAAGATGCAAATTACCAGTTTTTAAGGGTGGAGAGCTTCCTCTTCCTTCCTCTTATAAAGCTGATCCATTTTCAATATAGACAGACTTCCCAGACTTCCCTTCTGGTCCAGAAAGAAAGCGTAAGGAGGCACACTACGCAGCCTAGCAAGCAAGGTACAGCACAGGATGGTGAATGGGGCAGTGGAACTTGGGTCCTAGTGCTTGCTACAAAGACTAGTTATGCATTCTGCACTGGTTGAACACATATCATTCTTGCAGGAGGGGCTGGAGAAGACAGATCATCCATTCCCCGGCAGGCTACTTGTCTCCTCTTGGAAACATGACTCATGTTTTCTCTTCCGGGACAAACGGAGGTGTATATATTCGAGGCATACGCAGCCATGACTTCGCTGGGAAAAGAGGACGGCAGTGCAGATGCATGATGCAGGAATGCACTTCCCACTAGTCCATGTCAATGGGAAGGCTAAATCTGCAACTGCTGTTCTCTAGAAGGTGGGAAGTGCTCCAAGAGAAGGAGACATGAGAATTCCCTAACAAAATAAGTCTGTATGTTTGCAATGCTGGAACAGCAAAAAAGAAAGGTCCCAGTCAATGGGACAATGTGGGGTTTTTTTTATATTTAGACCTTGCTTTTCATTAGCAAAATTCTAGACTCATTAAAGGATGCTTAAGGTTTGCTATTGACTTCAATAAGGCCCAGATTTCATGTCAAAATAGTTTTGAGGAGGAGTAATTAAAAATTCAGGCCTGTTCCTGTTAAACTTGAAGCACAGTCTCCCTATATTTAAACAGGACAAACTTTAAAGACAGTTTTTGCTAGCAACTAGGGAACATGTTCCAAGCTGCAGTCTACAGGCATTTGTACATCACACATGTTTAGTAAATACACCAGCAGGGAGGTTTCTGCACAAACAATAGTCTGCTCAAGCCATAAACTTGCATTACAGCTGATTCTTGTCATGAAGTTAAGCAGGAAAACAAAACGACAAAAACTGGTTTCTCAGAATACATCATTCCGGTTTCAAGCAATCCTGATTTCTGTCAGGAACACATCTAACATACGAGAACCTTGCTGGGTGCTCCCCTATCAGCTCTTCTGCGCTGACTTACTTTTGCTAAAGATGTAAGACACACATGTGTCTGTGTGTCTGCGTAAGATTTTGGCTGGCTAAACCCATTAAAGAGCGAGAATAGCTGCACTGAATTTAAAAAGGCATTTATGACTCCAAGTGGATGAAGCTACGTCAAAAACGTTGCAAAGACATTTGGTTTTGTTTTGTTTTCTCTTAAAACTACAAATTAATACAGCTTTGAGTTTTCAACACTTCTATGGGGCAAGACTTCTTTTACAATTTCAATAACAAAATGATATCCAACAGAAAGCAAATCCTAAAATAACCTGATTTTTAGACCAATTCCACATCACTGACCTTACTGAGAACACAGCATAAGGTCAAAATTCCCAGTGAGTATCTGCTCCAAAGTAGTGACGGAAGGATGCTGAGAACCCAGGCGTCCCTGTCTCATTCCCATCCTATAGCTGTGGGCACAACACGTGTCTCTACAGGTGGGAAGGAACATTTAGGGTAGAAGTGGCCTGGGTTTTGAAGTCTCATCTCAAAATATTTTGATGCAGCAAACTTGGCAGTATTCTGTACTCTGATTTCTGAAGGAAGAATCTAGCTACATCAGATGTATCAAGCTTAAAGTTCAACTGCTATGTAGTCTGAAGAAACCAAATAGTCTAAGGATATTAAAGTCATCAAGATGCTTTGCGAAATCACAGGAAATGGAAAGCATTGAGAAAAATAATATAGTTAAAGAAACCATTCTTTAAAAATGTTTCTTCTGTCATTGGTCCACAATTTACCAAATTGTCCCATAAGCCTGATAACACTAAAAGGTTTAGATTGACTAAAAGAGCAAACTCCTTGGAGCCAGTACTTCTGGCCTAGTATTCTGGACACCAACAGGAATTTGCCAGGACAGGGTATTTCTGTGCTGGCTCTTCCCAAATTACACTGAGACTTTCCTATCATCTTACTGCTGGAGTACTGTTTGCACACATTCCAGCACACTTTCAACACACAAACAGAGCAAAGGAGGGAGTTACCTATAGCCACACAGATGAATATAGCCAGTGGGGTACTAGGTTATCATTTTTTTATGCTGTGGGAACTTTTAACTGGAAGAAAGAACACCGGCTATCATGCTGGGCTTTACTGGTACCGCAGATGGAATGCTCAGATTTCCTATTTCCTCCTTCCACATAAAGAGTTTAATTCACGTTTTGCAGACGCTGGATTCTGATGCACGTGGAAAGTGAGAAAACTGGGAAATAGCCTACTCCACAAAACAGACACACAATCTTTGTGAAGCAACCGAGTGAAGATTCTTCCATAGATATATGCATGAGAAATGGCAAATGGTTTCCATTTCCCCTCCTTGAAATAATTTGGATGATGCTTAAGGTTTTCAAGCCATGCAGCAGCTGGCATTTGTATTTTCACAATAAAAAGTCCAAATTCTGTTTGAATATACATACCACCCAATCCCACTAAAACACATGACTAGACATAAGCGTAAGGTTGGAGAAATAGTGCAAAGTTTGTCACAGAACCCAGAAGATAAGCACAATTTGCCAGACTCAGAGCTATTTTTGTTACACTAATACCATGTCCTTTTCATAGCTTTCTATTGCCTTCAGACATTCTTATGATGATATAGGAGGATCAATGTGGTTTCATTTTTTTTTTTTTCCTTTAATGAGCTTAAGAAAATCCTTAATCTTTTTAGAAGAAAAACAACATCTGCTTTAGATTTACGGGCAATTGATTTTTATTTTTAAAGCAAATAAGAGATGTCACCCTCCTTCGAAAGTTAAAATACATATTCAAATGGAGCCTCAGATTTTCTGCCTTCTATTTAACTTAAATTCATCCTGTGACACACTCCTGTAGTGAGGCCTATTAACGTTTATTATTTTTTACATCTAGTGAAACTGAAATCTAGAGAGGATATCCTCTGCTAGACATTAGAATGATCTCGGCACAACAATTATTGCAGCAG